AGAATCTGCAAGGTTGACAGAAGGTTTCTTATCTTCTTCATTAAATGGTTTGTTATCTAATACCTTGGTTTCATTATTTTGATATCTTATGATTTTCTTAAGTAATTTATTCTTATGTAAAAGAAAAATGGTTCTGTAAAAATTAGGATAGAACTCAGTGATCTATGACAGTAGCAAGCAAACAGACAATATACGGTATTAATGTGCCAAGAAATCGTACGGGTGAAAAGGTGAAAATTACAAAATTATGAGGATAGAATGTACCTTACCCAGAAAACACAGAGAATCTTACACCAGAAATCCTAATTTAACACTCTGTTAGATTAACCTTCTTGTCCCAAACTTATATCAAATGCAAGGTCTTATTTAAGTCTTGATCTGACTTTGAAGAAAACTAATCTTCCATCAAATTAAATAGACAACATGAAATGAATAAAGGCGCAGACAAATGTTTATTCCAATGTTAAAGGACTTATGTAATTAGAGATAAAGATGCACAATTCAGCAAGCTGATAAAAAAATATCTAAGGTTGCAAGGTATTAGTAATACCAGAAGTTTGTAGTCTCCCCTTTGATCTTTGCCGTCGAGGGACATTTTTAAGCAATGAGCCGTTTTGATTGAAGCTACTTGTTTATAGGGTGATATAACTGTCCTTTAACTTGATTGCTTTTGACGGACTAAATTGGCAACTTTCCTCCAAATGAAGTTTCATGTATTTAGTGCATTTGCAACAACATAAGGAATGTATTCAGAATTAAGTTATATTTTCTATCAATCAATCAACTAAGCCACTTCAAACTAGTCAGTGTCGATTATACAATGAATCTTTAATATCCATAATGTTCCATTCATTCCAGTACTCAAGAATTTGTCTCAAATTGAGACAAATTAGGAATTTTCAAATACTAAGTTTTTTTTCAAATCTCACCCTTATCCTACACTACACTGACATTCAAATCTTTAATTAAACTAAAAATTCTCCGTAAAGCATGAAACTTAATGTAAGTGTAACAACAACTGAGTCCTATTTTTAATTAAATGGTACTCCTCCCGTCCCAACTTATGTGATACTCTTACTTTTTTAGACTGTCGCAAAAAAAAAAAATACCTTTCTACATTTGAAAAACGATCTAACTTTAAACTTCTCATTTTATCCTTAATGAGATGACTTATAAACACAAGAAAAAAAA